TGCCTATGGGTTAGATCCCTTTTGCTCAAAGTGTTTACAACAGAGGCATAGCTGCAAGAGTCATCTAAGAAAAAATACAGCTTACTGAGTCAAAGAAAAGGTTTGTGACATGCAGCACACTCTGTCCCTCCCTGGAGATTTCTTTTTTTTTTTTTTGAGACAGAGTCTCACTCTGTTGCTTGGGCTAGAGTGCCGTGGCGTCAGCCTAGCTCACAGCAACCTCAAACTCCTGGGCTCAAGCTATCCTCCTGCCTCAGCCTCCTGAGTAGCTGGGACTACAGGCATGTGCCACCATGCCCGGCTAATTTTTTCTATTTTTTTTTAGTTGTCCAGCTAATTTCTTTCTATTTTTAGTAGAGACAGGGTCTCGCTCTTGCTCAGGCTGGTCTTGAACTCCTGAGCTCAAACGATCCTCATGCCTCGGCCTCCCAGAGTGCTAGGATTACAGGTCTGAGCCACCGCGCCCAGCCTGTCCTTGGCGATTTCACAATGCACACTGCCATATTACGGACTCTGAGAAGTCATGCAGTCAAGAACCTTTTGATCTTTATGTAACTCTGCCTTTCTTAAACTTCTTTATGTATGGATATTTCACAAAACACTTAACTACACACAAATGACTCATGTTCTGAGGAACACACATTCAAAATCACTTGCCTTGGCCATATTTGTTTTCCACGTTTCTACCTGGCCTTCTAAGGGAGAGATCTGTGTGTGTGTCTATAAAACTGGGGGGAGGGGGAATTGGGGCTTTTAATTGAACGATTTATATCTGCAAAGAGAAATTCAAAAGAGATGAATTGTAAAGGAAAAGTAAACTTTCCCCAAACCAGGGAACTCTAAATAATTTAGTTAGCATTTGAGTATATACTGTCAGACACTGTTGTAAATGCTTTGTATTTTTTAAAACAGTTAATCCTCTAAACAACCCAATGAGATAAATACTACCATTACTCACATATTACATATAAGGAAGGCTGAGGCTCAGTGGAGAATAAGAAACTAACCCCAGCTCATAAGTGGAGAAGCTACAAGTTTGAGTTCAGGCTGGCTGGTGCTAGAATCAACCCTCTTAATCATAATGTCATACTATACTCTTTACTCTGCAAAGAGAGCCAAGCCAAGGAGATCCCCACAGTTCACCAGAGTGGAGATGTGAGTTGTTTACTCTTAGTTCGCAGGGGACCCCCAGAGGGGAGCCAGACCACCTGTGCTTCTAATTTCTAGGTATGTGACTTTAGGAATGTGACTTAACTTCTCTTTGCTTCAAGTTTTTTCATGCATAGAATTAAAAAAAGAAAGAAAGAGAGAGAGAGAGAAAAAAATAGAAAGAAAGAGAAGAGGAAGGGAAGGGAAGGGAAAGGAAGGGGAAGGAAGGAAGGAAGGGAGGGAGGATAGAAAAGAAAAGGAAGAAAAAAGAGGGAAAAAAAGTGCAGACTTGCTGAGGAGGCTGTGAGGAGTACTCAACATATGTCCCCTACGACAAAGTCAAACCTGGTCTCACAATAGCCTCCGCCTACTGACCTTGGTTCTGTCCTCTGTCAGAACAAGTCAGTCCACTTCGATATAGTGGGCTTTCAACTACGTAGAGACAGGTAACGCAGCACCCTTCTCCAGGCTAAAGACCGCTGGATTCTTTCCGAGTCTCCCAGACTGTGGCTTTCCTGATGCTTTCCCTTCATATTTTAAACAGCTCTTATGCCAACAGGTGGCATTTTGATCTCTTTTTCCTAAATGTGGTATCACAGAGAGTTTTTCTTACAGTCCTTAGAAGGTTAAAGTTTATTTCATAAATGATGAAACTGTCAGTACCACTATGAACCAAAATATTAACTTAAAGCAGAATTTTATTTTGAAAAGTTTGTTTCTTTTTCTAAACCTATTTTCCCTCCCACAACAAATACTTTAATGCAACAATTACAGAGTCTTAAGCCAGTTATAGGGTCATGTTGGGCATTAGTTGAATGAATGATTGTGTATTTTCCTTCTCTGCCACATTAAGAAGAACTGAGTCTTTTTTCATGCAAGAAGATATTTTAAGGAGGACTTTACCAGATGTTTTCTAAATTCCCTCCTAATCCTGAGATTATGTGATTTGAGGCTTCTGCAATTTTATTCTAAGTATACACATACTGAAGTTCTCCTCATTCTGATTCAGTAAGTCCATTAGAAATTTTATTTAGGAGAAATATCACTTGTGACTATAGTATATATACATTTACATGTGAGTGTATATATATCTTCCGTCTCCTGTTTTCATCTAGGGAATTGCTTTTTCAGAGGGTGATTAAATTGGTTTTAAAGTGGTTTATCTACTCCTGCTGCTGCTTCTCCCACTTGACATGTTAATCCCCTCTCTATCTTACCAGATAACCCCTTGGTTACTGTCATTAGGTATAAACAAATGTTTCCAGTGATGGAAGTCTAGGGCAGCAACCTCTCATATTCTAGAAGATTGTTAAGAATTCTTGACATGACAGCGGTCCTTGAGAACCTTTCACACAAACAAAAAGGCCCAGCTTGGCCTGTCAGTTCCTTTGACGACATGAGCAGAGTCTGGGACACAAAAGGAAAAAAAGCTTTGTGTAAAGACCTGTGATCAAAACTGTTCATCTACCCAAGGACCTCCCCCAGAGGTGTGACAAATAGTAGAGTAGTGAGGTGTTTGCAAACAGAGTGGACAAAGTAGGACATGGGGGTCAAACACAGTCTGTCTTTTCATGGTCACAGACCCACTCAATATACTAAATCTAACCATAGCTGACACATTTGTGTGTCTCCCCATTTTTATATACCTTGGTCACTGGCTAGTCTCATCTTTGTTATAGGAAATGTTTCTTGGTAAAGAATGTAGGATGTTAGGGAAGAAATATAAGTAATAACAAGGTATTAATTAGTAACTGAAGTTGAAGTTTACAAGGCTAAATCCTCAAATTTCATGTCAATGACACAGCGTATACCAAGATACACAAATAAATCAAATATATACAGATACCAGTGCAACCAATGCTACATTTGCCTTATTTTGTGTTTAATATTATTGAAGGCTCTATTTATGCCTTAAAAAAACACAGAAGGTTCTTGAACATACATCTATTGTCTGGTAGAATAAACATACTTCAAATGCTTATCATCAGAACTCTGGAAAAGGAGTAGAAATTCTCTCTTCAGTATTTTAAAAATTGGTATCTAAATAATTTCATTTTGACCTAGATTAGTAACCTAAATTGTCTTCACTGACCTTTTAAAATTGAAAACAGGCCGGGCGTGGTAGCTCACGCCTGTAATCCTAGCACTCTGGGAGGCCGAAGCGGGCAGATCGTTTGAGTTCAAGAGTTCAAGACCAGCCTGAGCAAGAGCAAGGCCCCATCTCTACTAAAAAAAAAATAAAGAAATTAGCTGGACAACTAAAAATATACAGAAAAAAATTAGCCGGGCATGGTGGCAGTACTAGTAGTAGTCCCAGCTACTCGGGAGGTTGAGGCAGGAGGATCACTTGAGCCCAGGAGTTTGAGGTTGCTGTGAGCTAGGCTGACGCCACGGCACTCACTCTAGCGAGGGCAACAGAGTGAGACTGTCTCAAAAAAAAAAAAAAAAAAAAAAATTGAAAACAATGTTAAGTTCCAAATATAATAAAGAGTGAAGTATACATTCTAACTTTATTTTCTGTTACACTTTTCTGACCAAACGGGAGTTGAAGGATTTTTCCTTATCTTATTTTCTTATGACAATTGTCATCAGATTTTTTTAAAAAAGCAAAATACCACTACAGAATTGTAGTTGAGAAGACTAATTCTATATGAATGGTTTTAATCATAGCCCCGTTAAAATAACATTTAATATGAAATCATTTCATTAGATGATGGTGACACCTGTTAAACGTCAGTATCTCTCATATCATTCCTGGATGGCTTTGATGCTTTTTTTTTTTTTGAGACAGAGTCTTGCTTTTGTTGCCCGGGCTACAGTGAGTGCCGTGGCGTCAGCCTAGCTCACAGCAACCTCAAACTCCTGGGCTCAAGCGATCCTCCTGCCTCAGCCTCCCGGTAGCTGGGACTACAGGCATGCGCCACCATGCCCGGCTAATTTTTTCTATATATTTTTAGTTGTCCGATTAATTTCTTTCTATTTTTAGTAGAGACGAGGTCTCGCTCTTGCTCGGGCTGGTTTCGAACCCCTGAGCTCAAACAATCCGCCTGCCTCGGCCTCCCAGAGTGCTAGGATTACAGGCGTGAGCCACTGCGCCTGGCTGATGCTTCTTATATCTTCCTCAGCATGACTCCTTCATTTTTCTTCTCTAGAGTTTCCTTGACTTAAAATCATGAGATTTAGTGGCTCTGTGTTATTTTTCAAATGTTGGGCAGAGTTGGCTGGTTGATGATGTAACTCATTAAAATGAGCTGTGGTTCTGGTTCCCTGGGCTGGCCCAGAAGTCTGACATGGCCTTGGTTCCTCTTGTAGCTAAAGATTAGAGTCTATTCTTTCACTAGTCCAGTGCAGTGGCTGAAAATGCCCAGGAAATATATTACACTGCATTCCACTGTTTAGGAGACATTTGCATTCAATGGTATTGTTATAGGTAAAGTATTTCCTTGAGGAACAATCCCATTTACTCAGTGTTTACAGGAAATATTGAATTTTATAGCCATAATTGCCTTTCTCTGTAGGAAAGATTTTTTAATTTGCTATGATTGTGTCCTTTCATTTCTTTTTCTTATAGTTATACATGCTCTATAATCTAAATTTCTTAAGTTCATTTAAAATCAGAGAAAAAAAACCCCAAGGGGATTAAAAACAAACACAAAGTAAACCAACAAACAATTTTTGCCATTAGACTTTTTCCTGGATAACCCTGCAAATATATCTTGTCATTTCCATTCTGTTTCAACACTGCAGAACAATAGACTCGTGGCTCAATGGGGAAGCAATGTGCACAGGAGTGACAAAACATGGAAACCAGAAAAGGAATATAAATATCAATCAAACTTTCAAAATCCTAGTAATACAACAGCTTCTTTCCTTATTTATTCTGTTAGTGTTCATTCTACGTGAGTTCACATCTTGGTTCCAGGAGGCCGTGCGCCATGAGCCCTGATAACAAAGACCACTATTTGCAGAGGGTAAAATGGAGCCTGTTGCCAGTATCTACTCGGGCAAACTTGCAAAAGTCTTCTGGAAGACTAATAAAATTATGTTCTGATTATTTGTTTTCTGGATGCCGGGGACCATGGAAATAGAAAAGGATAGAAACAAGGCATGCTTTTTGAGGTTTCTTGGGCTGGGTAGTAGAAAAATAGGTGTTTTCCTTTGGAGCTTTTTGTAGCTGAGACTTCTGTGAGCACTTTTTCATTTTCCTCAGTCTTTAAGGGAGTGGTAGGCTTTGGCAGTCCGGCTGTTGACAAAATCTGTCTTCTTAAACTGAGCCTTCGGAATAAGCAAACAGAAATGTGAAAGGTAGTAAAATTGTCACACAAGAAAATGCAGTTTTGTAGTGATTTCTCACCAGGGTCAAGTACCATGGGCCATTATTATCGGGCTCCGTGAACTACAACACACTCCTTGTTTGTGTTCTTACCTTCTTGTAGGCATTGTGGAGCTCTGTGTGCGCCCACAGAGAATACAGGAGGACAGAAGCAGCTTTGCTTGCTTTGTTGGAGGCATAGCTGAAAAGAAAAGAACATGCCAAGATCAGGGAGAACATGGGAGGCTTCTGGACGTCGCCTTTCGGCATTCTGTAAATCTTCTTTAACTACTGTTCCTGAGTAGCCCTCTCAGGCCACTCGTGATGACGAGACAATTAGATGGTGAGCTTTGGAAAGCAGGGACCACATTTGCTTTTGTTTTAATCTTTTTAAGCTGTGAACACAGTGCTAATAAATTGTTTATAGAGCAAATCCCGGATATTTATAAGAAAAACATCCTTAGACATGCCACAAATCCTTGAATTGATCTGTAGAATACTATCTATATTTGTATATTTATGATGTATAATTATAGAAGACAAATATAAGAAAGCAGGACTGAAAAATATATATGACTTTGTGACTATGAATGTAGGAGTAAAGAAAATTTTAAAGTCAATAAAAGAAATTCTTGCAGCAGCCCTTATTAAAACAGTTTCAAAATCGCTTTGTTTTAGTGTAGAGCAAATGGAAAAACTATTCCTGTTATAAATCCAACTTGCCACTGAATTTGACATTGTACTTAGTTTTTAGCAGTCTGTTTTTAAATTTGTCCAGAACTTCTCATTTCTAGCTAAAGATGAGTGCCTTCTTAGATCTCTTTTTCTTCCATTATCTGACTAACATATGGCTGAATTGTTTTTTAAACAAAGAAACGAAGAGCAGAATTTTTTCCCCCTCATATTACAGGCGTTTGTAAACACGCAACCATGAACAAAGTGTGCAGAGCTGTATGAAGAGGAGCACAGTGGGTTCATTCACCAGCTGAAAGCGTTTCTCTCCCCTATCAGCCTTGCAGGGAGGGTGAGGCAAATTACCACCTCACAGATTTTTGAGTACCTCAGGGACTTTTCAGAGTCATCTGGTAATAACCAAAGTACAAATAGATCCATGAAAGCTACAGCTCTCTAATATTCAAGATTGTAAAAAGTTCTTAAATTGCTGTAAATGATAATTAGTTCCCAGGCTAGCCCATAAATTATAGGTCAGAAATACAACACTCTAGTAAGGAGGGAGCAGCAGGCACAACTGGTAGAAGCTTTTTGTTGACTTTTTTTTTTTTAAACAGGGCATGTTAAGGATGAACTCACACATTGACACTTGGGACAACAAGCAAATAACAGAGTTGTAGCACATCTCTCTATCTTGCTAAGCTACAAGAAATTTCCAAACATGATGGCCTAGTCCCCTGTGTGACAACTGTCATGTCTAAATACTTGAATAATTAAAATCATACTATCTTATGGTGATTTGCTTAGAAGTTTGGATGACTACTTTGGAGAGTCATTTCAGTTTTGCAGTAATAATTCATTCTTTCCATGGAGAATGAAGAACTGTTCTGCTATCTGCCAGGCTCTGGGGAACAGGTGAATATTTTTGGGAAACTCACATTTTAGCCAGTGCTTTGGGCTCTTTTTAATCACCTGACTCTGAATGTAGTTTTTCTTCCTTGTGTGCTTGCAGAGGGGGGCTGCAGGCACGAGGGGCCATGGTGGAGGTGATGTGTGCTCATTCCAGGACACCACGGGCCCCCACTCAGCTCTGTACAGCCAAATGCACATTCCTCCACTACAGGTGAAGTCTATCTGCTTTGCAACTCATCACAACTAGGCTATAATGGCATTTCTTTTCTGGTTGTCTACAAAAGTAACTTGTATTTGTAACATATCAAACAATTCAGAGTTGTATAAAGAGAAAAAAATAATCTTCAAGCCCCCTTCTAATCCATCACTCTAAATTAACTAAAGGTAATACTTTGGTTACACAAAGGTTTTCATTCTCTTCCCCACTTTTTTTTTTTAAATGGGGAAAAGTTAAAAACACAGGAACAGAGAAGTGGGATGACCTATGTTCATCAGAACTTCTATTCTCAAAAGGGAATGAGAGGTGGAAGAGATGGGATAGAGAAAACTGAGACAGCAAGACGTTCTTGTCAGGCTACAACCCGCTGCTCCTCCTGTTCTATCACTGCGTCTCCTGAGCTGCCGGGGTGCCATCTGTTCCCTAGATGTAAGTGAGGCCCTTCCCTGGCCAGAGGGCTCCCAATTTACCTGTATTCTGCTATTCTTACATCACAGTGGTGGCTCTGGGAAACTAATCCATTAGGTCAATAAAAGGCTGGGATGCAGTAACTCGAGAAGCTATGGAGTTTGACTCTCTTGATATTTCAGAAGAGAAGGGACAGCTATGGCCTGGGTGATTCAGTTTTTGCCTTGATCAGCAAGGACGCACTGGATGATCTGGCTCGGCTTTACGGCTTGTTCGAGGCCATGTGGCCCATGGTACTCATGACCGCATATTCACAGCTAGATTATTACACACAGGAGTGGTGGTGGGGAAAGGGAGACAGCTGATGGGCGGATGCTAAAGGACTTACGTGTCGCCGGTGCTGATGGTCATGATTTTCTGCAGGCCCCCAGTGTGTAGAAGGTCCCGTGCATTTTGGTAACTATTTTGGACTATATTGTTCAATGTGTAACAGGCAGAGGCTGTAGTTTCAATGAGAAGGTCAGTACTCGGGACTGTGTCAGGAATTATGGAAACCAAATCAGGCAGAGTTTCTTTGGCTACAAGATAAAAAAAAAAAAAGAACACTTGATTAAAAAAATTCTTTCTTAATCCCAAGATCCTAATACATTTTTGGTAAAAAACACTTTTGAAAAGAAACACAGTTGGTTAACAAATATATGGAAAGATATAATCTCTGTAATAATCAAATTAAAAATAAGATTTTTTAAAAAGAGGATACTCAGGCCGGGCACGGTGGCTCACATCTGTAATCCTAGCATTTTGGGAGGCCAAGGTGGGACGATAACATTAGCTCAGGAGTTCGAGACCAGCCTGAGCAAGAGTGAGACCCCATCTCTACAAAAAATAGAAAAATTAGCAGGGCGTGGTGGTGTGCACTTGTAGTCCCAGCTACTCAGGAGGCTGAGGCAGGAGGATCGCTTGAGTCCAGGAATCTGAGGTTGCAGTGAGCTGTGATGATGCCACTGCACTCTACCACGGGTGACAGAGCAAGACCCTATCTCAAAAAAAAAAAAAAAAAAAAGGATACTCTGTGCTCAGTACATTGAAAATCTTTTCAAAATGCAATTTGGCAGAAATGTCAAGAATTTAAAACATTTTCACACTCTTCAATTCAGTAATTCCACTTCTGGGAATACACCTTAAAGACATCACTTTAAAAATGGAAAAGCTTTTTGAAGAGACCTTTGTGATAGTGTAATATATAAATGAAAAACCATAAAAAGCCTAAATATCCCAATAAGAATATGATTAGCTAAAACACAACTATAAAGACTGTTGTGCATCCAAACACATTATCTATGAAGCATGTATAATAAAAAATATTTGTTAATAGGCTATGTGAAAAATGAGTATACTTATTTATATAAAGAATATTGTAATATTATAAAAGAAAATACACATAAGAAATGTGTATAAACTAAACTAAAATGTTAATATTAATAGGAGCTATTTTTCTACAACTCTATTAATGGTAAACTAAAAACATTTAAAAAATTATCTGTACTTCCCACATTTTTTTCAATACATAAATACTACTACTATTGAAAAAAGAAATAAAGTATTTAAAATATATTTTTCCACTACATATGTAACTACTTGGTTATAGGTTTCAGTTTGGCTTTTTTTTGTACCAATAAGAAAGGTATTAATATTTGATGGTTCCACTTTAACTTGTCCTATGGTATATACACTTGATTTCTTGTAATAATACTTTTCATGTATGTTTTATTTTTCTTTGCTGTAACTACTTTGGACTCTTCTTAAAAGGTAGAGAGCATGCTTCTGTTGCTCCCCACAGCTTCTTAATACGTGTTGTGTTCATAATGGATGTGTAACAAATACTGATTAATTTTATTGTTCCTTCATCTGGATTCAGGTGGCACCTTGAACCACACTTCTCTCTGACACTGGATTGCAATTAGTTATGTGCTGGTCTGAACTTCATCTGGGGTGATGAGTTCCCTGAAGCTAATAATCCCACTTATTTCTGTGTTCCTAACTCTGATCACTATTCCTGAAACAGAGAGGTACTCAGTAAAGGCACTGAATGATATATCATCCTTTGATAATACCTGGACCTGATTCACAGGTCAGACATACCTTCTGCTCACACACCTGAACGCTTTCTTTTTTTACTGTTGTTCAAGCACCACAGCATAGTGTTATGAGCTCAGCGCTCAGCCTCTGAAGATCCTTTAGTTTTTTAATAGCCTGGATGAGCTACTTAATCTCTCTATGCTGCATTTCCCTAATTTGCAACATGTGGTAATAATAGCACCTACTTTACAGGGGATAAAGGAGGGAATAAAGGAGTCAATGCATGTTAATTGCATCATAGCATCCTGTACGTAGTAACCTCTCAATAGATGCTTGTTATTATCAGAAGGCTTCCTCTTTTTAATAAGATAAACCACAGAAAGGCCTTGAGAACATGGTAACATGGGTTGGCAAAGTAGCATTATGGGATGCAGACCCATATCTTCTGTGTGAGATCTGTTATTTTGTCACCATGCCAGACTGCCTATCTTCAAGTCTTTGAGAAAATTTAAGTTTCAAGTTTATTTCTCTAAATGTAAGTAAAATGTGATGACTTCATTCCATGTGAGCACAGGGAAAGTTACTCGGCCTAGAAATCACTCAGGAAGCATGTATTTAAATTGATTTTCATTTATTCTTGGCTGTTAAAATTCTGAATCAAGATGGGTCCTTTTACTTAAATTATATATTTGACATGAAGCCAATTTGGAATTTTAAAATTGCATTTACCTTGCTGACGCCTCTTCTTTCTGTTGTCCTTAAACCTCAGCAGAATAATCTAATACAAACCATGGGGCCACAGCTATACCTTCCCAATATTTAGGGGGCCACAAAACCAGACACCAACAGTATTTCTGCCCTGAAGGTGCGTGCATGACGTGTGCAGTGCAGATATTTACCTTGGCAATGTTTTAAAGATGGAGCCAATGTTTTATTTGGGAAAAGAAAAAAAAAGTTAAAGGATAATATGCCTCTATTGAAGTTCAGCACAAAAGCCCACAGAAGAACATGGGGAGAACATTTTAATAATTTTCAAAGTGCCTATGGCAAGGTTTCTTTTAGATTTCATTCAACATTTTCTAAGCTCTCTCTAAATTTATAATGGGCATGAAATCATTGTATGGAACCTCCTGTCACATATGCTGCTGGCTATATGTGAAAATGACATTACCAAAATGTAAATGCAGACTTCAATATCCCTCACGTTGTGCATGCAGACCCCAAAATCTAATCCACTAAAACCAATAATTTGTTTATAACTTCAGTGGGATTTTGTGAAAAACCAAATTTAGGTTGTTAGAAATGACCAATTTATGGAACATTAGAAAACATGCCCAATTTTAGTATTATCTTCCTATTATCTCATTTTATAGTTTTTTACTTAATTCAATATACATTTATCAGGTACTTCTTGGTATAATCAAATAAATGAAAAATTATCATATCTGATAATGTAACATAGCTATCTTCTCTGTCAATAATATGGAGCCCCCCAAAAAAGTCCAAGTGTTTCATCATATTTATTCCAAACACCATCTATGCCAAATCTATATTCAGTGACTTTTTGTCTTTTTCTTGTGATTATCTGTTTACCCATCTTTTTTCTAGTCCAACACACTGCCAAGCTTCTAAAGTAAACAACTGCTGCACATGTATTTCCGATGTCCTAGAGAGCGGTGCTTGCACGGGCCACACGGAGAGCATTCTGCAAGACAGCTATACGGATTAGAAAGGCTTCACTGGCTGGTGTGGCTGAGGTATGAAACATGCCAAACACATTACTTATCTTGTTAATTCAGTATGGTCTGAAATTTGTCTTCTGTAGAAATTTTTTTAAATGATGGATATTAAAAACATCCTTTTTGAGATCCAGTTGCAAAGCCTGCACTTTATATCCGGCTGCACAAAAGCCAGGCCTGTTTGTCACCCTCTGTTCTTTATTCACATTCCCAGTTTATCGTTGTGAAAAGAATATGATACGGACAACGTTTTATTGCATTTGTATTTTTAATAGGTACATATCACATGTAGCTACTTTGACTGACTCACCAATTTCATTCTGCAGAGAAAGAGTCCGAGACAAATTCCTCAGCAGGGAGACTGCAGTCTTTCTCACGCTTGGATCACCAACATGCAGCATCTTTCGGGCGTGCTGAAGGCCATTTTCCTTCTGAACAACTGTCTGAGCTACTGACGTCGGCATCTGTTTTGTGAGACAATGTCCTATAAGTGCTATTGCATTTGGTTTCACGGTAGTATTTTCTGTAGATTACTTAAGGTTGAGGAAGATATTTTAATAACTAGAACTGTGATGAAACCAGACTAAAGATATTTTTTTAGGTTTCTTATTAGGTTTTCAATTTGATTACTAGATAAAAACAGTTTATTCAGTATTTTTAAATGCAATGTTGGATTTGGTGAGCTATTATATTTTTTCCATCTATGTTTATAAGTAAAATAGGTCTATCTTTTCCATTTAGAATCAAGGTTACATGCATATCATAAAATTAGTTGGGTAGTGTTTTCTCTTTTTCCATCTCCTTAAACTATTTGTGTAATACATTGAATAAGAATAATCTCATCTTTCTGGAATGGGTAGAATTTAGCCATACAGATTGAATAACCCTTATCTGCAATGGTTGGGACCAGAAATGTTTTGGATTTTTTCAGATTTTGGAATATTTGCTTACACATAATAAAATGTCTAGGGATGGGACCCAAATCTAAAAATGAAATTCACTTATGCTTCATATATACCTTATACACATAGACCAAGGATAATTTTGTAAAATATTTGTAATAATTCTGTGCATGAAACAAAGTTTGTGTACACTGAACTGTCACAGAAAGCAAAGGGGTCACTACCTCGGTTACCCATGTGGACAATGTGTTGTTTAGCATCACAATTATCCCTGACTCTGAATTCATATGCTACCAATAAGCAATCATTTTCTTACACTTATTCACACATAAGTACTCATCAGTAAAAAAAAAATATGACATACCATTAATACAGTAAAAAATGTGTTCAGGGCAACTAAGCACAGTAGCGTCACCAGATACCTGTGTCAGCTGTTAAACAACAGTAACCACAAGCAACAGTGGGCTTTTGGTCTCTTAACTATGATGCTGTGTTGTAATTAAAAGGTTACTGCAGGCCGGGCGCGGTGGCTCACGCCTGTAATCCTAGCTCTCTGGGAGGCCGAGGCGGGTGGATTGTTTGAGCTCAGGAGTTCAAGACCAGCCTGAGCAAGAGCGAGACCCCATCTCTACTAAAAATAGAAAGAAATTAATCGGACAACTAAAAATAAATAGAAAAAAATTAGCCGGGCATGGTGGCGCATGCCTGTAGTCCCAGCTACTCGGGAGGCTGAGGCAGAACGATCACTTGAGCCCAGGAGTGTGAGGTTGCTGTGAGCTAGGCTGACGCCACGGCACTCTAGCCCGGGCAACACAGTGAGATTCTGTCTCAAAAAAAATAAAAAAATAAAAAAATAAAAGGTTACTGCACACTGTATTTTATTTTATTTTTTTTGGTGACAAGAAACATGAGAAGCAGTTGAGGGACCAGGAAGTGTGTCCTCTAGGGATGAAGAGGCACGCTGCTGGATGGCTTTTTAAACCGTTTCCTCCGGAGTCATCTGCCTCATTAACAACGGTTTTGTCTTAGAAGTCTCTCTTTGATTTTATAAACTGACATGATTTCTTGTTCTGTTCTTGATGTGCAACTGCTCTAGTCTTTCACTAAGCCCATCACACGTTTTTACCATGTTGCCTAGAGGCACTTTGTCTGCAGTGTTACTAACATCATCTTCATCATCACTATTATCACCAACACTTTGATCTAGAATCATTTCAGCTACTTCACTATTTGTCAATGAATGAACAACTGAAGCCTCATTATCGATGTTAAAAACTTCTTCAACATCTACTCCTTCCAGCTTACTGATGGACTCTGAAGGTATATCTTTTGCATATGTAAGGAGGTCAGACATCATTTTTTCTTCACTTGACATACAGAGTCCTTCAAAGTCACCACCTTGTTCATCATTAACACTGAACATAGCCACAAGGCCGGAGGTTGTGCCAGGCATGCAAACTTTGTCTTTAGTCACTCTGTTCCAAGCACTGGCAACAGCATGTATGACATCCTTCATGCTAAACTCCTTTTGTGAATCTTCCAGACACAGTTCTCTGTTCACTGCTGCTAGCATGCTATTCAAGAAAGAGTTTATAAAATTTCTGATACCCTGGTCATATGGCTGAATGAAGTTAAATTTTGGGGGAAAGTACATGGCATGCACATTATTTTGATGAGAATTTCAGCTGGAAGATGAGCAGGGCAGTTGTCAAAGAATAACGAAGTCTTTTTTTTTTTACTTTTTATTTGATTACTTCAGATTTATAAAAAGGTGCTCTAAAAAAGTACAAAGAACAGTATATATTTGAATCAGATTTACCTGTTAACAGTTACCCCATTTTAGAGCCCACACCCTCCTGTTATGCAGTCTCCTCACAAAGAGAGTCCATCATTTATTTTTAGAGTCCTGGATTTTTGATCTCACAATCAGCCCAGTGTGACCCACCTTGTTCAATGCCCTAGTGAAATTCTAAAGTTTAAATATCTTTGAAATATTAATAGATGAATCTGTGTCACACTGTAGTTACATAAAGACTATACATGAGATGAATGCATAAGTCTAGCTGGTGTGGGGAAATGACCACATTTTGCAAACTGTTCACCTAAGGAGGTTTGGGTTCTGCTGGTTATTTTCCAAATTATATATTTTTTTTCTTTTATATTTTTAGTTATTATGGGCACATAATAGTTGTATATCTTTATAGGATACATGTGATGTTTTGATATAGGCATGCAATGTAAATTAATCAAATCAGGGTAATTGGGGTATCCATCACCTCGGGCATTTAACATTTCCTTGTGTTAGGAACATTCCAATTCCACTCTTTTAGTTAAAGTATACCCTAACTTATTGTTGAGTATAGTCACTTTGTCGTGCTATCAAATATTGTTGATTCTATCTAACTAACTAATATTTTTATACCCATTTACATACCCACTATCCCCCCCGACCCCATCCTACTACCCTTCCCAGCTTCTGGTAACTGCCATTCCGCTCAGGCTCCATGAGATCAATTGTTTTTAATATTCAGCTCCCACATAAGAATGAGAACATGAGATTTGTCTTTCTGTGCTTGGCTTATTTCACTTAACATAATGTTCTCTGGTTCCATCCATGTTGTGAATGGCAGGATTTCATTCTCTTTGTGGCTATATAATATTTCATTGTGTATATGTACTATAATCTCTTTATCCATTCATCTATTGGACACTTAGGTTGATTTCATATCTTGCCTATGGTGAAAAGTTCTGCAATAAACATGGGAGTGCAGATATCTTTTCGATATACTGATTTCCTATTCTTTGGATATATAACCAGCAGTGGGATTTCTGGGTCATATAGTAGTTCTATTTTAAGTTTTTTGAGGAATTTCCATTCCGTTTTCCATAGTGGTTGCACTAATTTACATTCATACCATCAGTATACGAGGGTACCCTTCTCTCCACATCCTCGCCAGCATTTGTGATGCCCTTTTTGATAAAAGCCATTTTAACTGGGGTGAAATGATATCTCACTGTAGTTTTGATTTGCATTTCTCTGATGACGAATGATGTTGAGCACTTTTTCATATTCCTGTTGGCTGTTTGTATGTCTTCTTTTGAGAAATGTCTATTTAGATCCTTTGCCCATTTTTAAATTGGATGATTTGATTTTTTTCCTATTGAGTTGTTGGATCTCCTTATATATTCTAGTTATTAATCCCTTGTCAGATAGGTAGTTTGCAAATATTTTCTCCCATTCTGTGGGTTGTCTCTTCACTTTGTTGATTGTTTCCTTTGCTGCGCAGAAGCTTTTTAGCTTGATGTGATCCCATTTGTCCAATTTTTCTTTGGTTGCCTGTGCTTTGGGGGTATTACTCAAGAAGTCCCTGCCCAGACCAATGTCCTGAAGTGTTTCCCCAATGTTTTCTTTTAGTAGTTTCATAGTTTCAGGTCTTAGATTGAAGTCTTTAGATTTGATTTTTGTATATGGCAAGAGATGAGGGTCTAGTTTTATTCTTCTGCATGTGGATATCCAGTTTTCCTAACATTTATTGAAGAGATTGTCCTTTCC